AACCTATTTACAAGTACGATTATCAGTTTCTAGCTATAATATATATACTTATATATAACACTGACCCACATCACCATTTGTTTAGAGAATCAGGTGCTGATGCTTCTGAGATCAGAGTTGGATTTGTCACTTACCACAAAGAACTTCATTTTTATAATGTCAAGGTAAGAAAGTTCAAATTGATTGAGACCAATAGTTTTTGTTCATTCTTTGTGTGGAAATGAAAGTTAAGAAATATTTGTGTCTGACAGGTTTTATTTCAACTTCAAATTATTAGGACAACTCATTTTTATTGTGTGGAAGAATTAATTTTATTTCCTTTTTTTTTTTTTTTTTTTTTTTTTTAAAATATTGTTTGTGTTATGATGATGTTTAAGAAAACTCAAACCACTCATTTATTATCAAGTCAAATACACCTTCATTTATTTTTAGTGAATCTCCATTGAAATTATTCTCGCACTACAAACTTAATTGCTTCTTAAAAATATAAATTTAAAATCTTTTTAGTTTTATAAAGAGAGTACATTGCTCCTATTAATTGTAACAATAATACTGATAATATAATGATTGTTATTTGTTTAGAGTTCCCTTGCTCAGCCTCAAATGATGGTAGTGTCAGATTTGGAAGACATGTTTGTTCCACTCATTGATGGCTTTTTGGTGAAGTTGTCAGAATCTGAGGGAGTAATAGATAGGTCATTATATTTTTTTTCATAGTCTTTTGGTTTCATGTTTATATCTTTATAGTGAGTGACATGCTTTTCTGACAGCCATAGCTAATGTTTATGTAATTCTGCTACAGCTTGCTGTCACAGATACCTCAGCTATTCAGTGAGTCTAAAGAAACTGAGCTTGTTCTTGGGCCAGTGATACAAGCAGGTCTGGATGCGCTGAGATCTGCTGACAGGCCAGGGCGTTTGTACATATTCCACACAGGTTTACCTACTGCTGAAGCCCCTGGCAAATTGAAAAACAGAGACGATAGAAAATTGTTGGGAACTGAGAAAGAGAAAGTATGTGATTGTATTTTACTTAAAGTAGGCCTACCATTAAACCATTTGCAATTTAGAGATAAGTAAGTGTATTGAACTTGCTGGTTTTTTTTGTTTTTTTTTACTAGGCTTTAAACTTAATAAAAGATTAAAAAATTCACTAGGAAATAGTATTATTGAAATATTTTGGGACCCTTGATATCAACTTGTAAGAGGAACCACTAACACAATGTTGTCATAAAAAAAAATGTCTTGGTCATGCATCCTATTTACAACCAAATCAAAGAACAATTGATCACATGTGGAAAATAAAGAAAGAAAAAAAAGTTTAACATTATAAAGATAGTGAAACAAATATTGTACTTGCTGAGAGTAACGCCCCACTTGCCAGCGCTAGTGGAGTTACTCGCTAAGAGTAATGCTGCACTGAAAGAATTAAAATGTTATTTTTATCCCTACTTAGCACAAGGGACAAAACTCTGACAATGAAATCACTTATTCTTACTTATTGTAATGTAAATTGAATCAAAAGTAACACTTAGATTCAATAATTGTTTTTTTCTTCAACAGACTATCTTAACGCCACAGACACAATTTTATAGCAAACTGGGTACAGATTGTGTTGCTGCTGGTTGTAGTGTGGATCTTTTCCTCTTCCCTAATCAGTATATTGATGTAGCCACCATGTCAGATATATGCAGGGTCACCTCTGGCAACATTTATAAATACAGCTATTTTCAAGTCAGTACTGTATGTTATTCCTGACAAAGATAACTAATTTATTCTTGATCACTATTGAAAAAAAGTAACTTTACATCAATTTTATAAAGCTTTATGAAACGTCTCCATTTTATAAATGAACAATGACTTTAAAAAGAATGTAATGAAATAAATGCTAAAATATATTAAGACTTGTTGTTCTACATCTTATTAGGCTGATATTGATGGGGAAAGATTTATTGAGGATCTGAAAACTTCAGTCAAACGGTCACAAGGGTTTGATGCAATACTGAGAGTTCGAACTAGTACAGGTAAAGGGAATAATGTTTTAAGAAAATATAGAATTATTGATTTCTGGGATATTAATATAATCAAGAATAAATTTCTCTCTTTTGGAAATGTTATATTGATCTGTTTTTATGAGTGATATGATTCATTATTGTATCCTTTTACTTTCAGGTACTTCTATTAAAATAAATAATAAATTGTAATTTGTTTTCAAAGGAATTCGGCCTGTTGATTTCTATGGTAATTTTTACATGGCAAACACCACTGATGTGGAAATGGCTTCAATTGATAGTGATTCCACTGTGTGTCTGGAGGTGAAACATGATGATAAACTCAATGAAGCAGATGGAGCATATATACAGGTATGGGGAATAGTTATCAAAAAGCATTGTGTGAGTGATATGAAGAGTAAAATAGGAAACCTGTAAGTTATGGCAATGGCTATTGTGGTGTGCAGTAATGCTTCTGTGTGGAGGTATTTGTTCAAAGTCTCTGTAAGCTTGTCTATAAAATTTCATTGTGTTGTTTAGGTGGCAGTCCTGTACACAACTATATCAGGCCAAAGAAGATTGAGGTGTCAGAACTTGGCATTAAACTGTTGTGTTCAAATGGCAGATTTGTTTAGAAGCTGTGAACTGGATGTACTAATCAACTTCTTTGCTAAACAGGGTATTTGTTTTCCTTTTTTTTTTTTTTTTTTTTTAACCCTGCTGACTAAACTTTGTGTGTTAAGAACATACATTTAAGTTTTGTCCATACATTGAAATCAACACTAGAAGTGAATTCTAACAGTATGTGCTTAGTACATTGAATCCATAGATTTGTACTTATTTCAATGATAAGACATAGAATACTTTCAGTACAATAAACAATTTTAATTTAAAGTATGAACTACAAAAAAGATTAAAATCATATTATTAAAAAAATAGCTTTAAATGTTAAAAGTATGCAAAAAATGTTTTTACATTTACTGAACATTTAAAAAATCTACTGATAACAATAATTTATAAAACAATTGTAATCATGATCTTCAAATCATAATGCCTTTTTTTTATTCAGCTATTCGCACAAGTTTGAATGCAAATCCCAAACAAGTGAGAGAGCATATTATGAATGAAGTGGCACAGATTTTGGCCTGTTATCGTAAAAATTGTGCCAACCCTTCCTCTGTGGGTCAGCTGGTGCTGCCTGAATGTATGAAACTTCTACCTTTGTATGCCAACTGTATTATCAAAAATGACAGCATATCTGGAGGCTCAGAAATTTCAACAGATGACAGAAGTTACTTGATGCATCTGGTGAATGGCATGGATGTCAAGCTCTCTAATGTCTTTTTCTACCCTAGACTTGTACCATTTGTAAGTGCTAGTGATCAGAAATACTCATAGGAAATATTGTTATCAAATCAGCATGGTTAAAGTTTTTTTTAGTTTAATGTATTGTATGTACTGTATTATTAAAAACAGCACACACTGGACATGGACTCAACAGACTTCCCCATTGCTATTAGATGCTCTGTTGAAAGGTTGGAGGACTCTGGTATTTATATTCTAGGTGAGATTTAAAGATGGAATAGTTAAATTGCTAATGAAAGTTTTGACTGAAAACTGTAACATGCTATTTCTTTATTGTCTCATGCAGTTCTTTGTTGACATATTATTTGTACATAGCTTTAAAAAAAGTAAAAAAAAAATGTGTTCTTTTTTTTTTTTTTTATATTACCTACTATACTCATTAATTGGATAATGAACTAATGATAAAATATATGTCCACTTCTAGAAAATGGCCTGTCTATGTTCTTGTGGGTTGGTATAAATGTTAGTCCAGATACAATTCAGAAAATATTTGCTGTACAAAGTGCTGCTCAGATAGACATAGACAAGGTAAGATAGATATCAGAATAGTACCTTTAGATTTATGATTTAAAATAAAATAATATTTTCCATATACGCAGTCCTGATAATTAAGTTTTCAAAAGTTTTCTATTGTTTTGTGTAAATATTAATTGTAAAACTGACATGCAGGTGAAGATATTACAGTTGGACAATCCAGTGTCTCGTAGATTGTGTGACCTGATAAATCGAATCAGGCATGAAAGATCCAGATACCTCAAGGTTAGTACTTGTGTGATGATAAACTTACATTACTTTGAAGTTAGCTGTGATAGTGCTGTGGACTAACTGCAAAAAGATGCTTTATAGATCAATGTTTGTTGTTATACACAACACATTGATCACAAATTAAGTATTTCTAAATATCTGAGTATAAGTAGTTGGATGTCTCATTCAAATGCACTTTTTTTTCTCTTTTATTCTTTCTGCCAATGCCTTTTGTACTTCATTTTTTTCTAATGTTATAGTTAAGCACTGTGTCTTTAATTGATTTTTTTTTTTTACTTCTAGCTGACCATCGTGAGACAGAGAGACAAGCTTCAGTCTTGGTTTGATCACTTCCTGGTTGAAGATAAGAGCATGAACAATGGCAGTTCCTACGTGGACTTCCTGTGTCACATTCACAAAGAAATTAGAAACATTTTGAATTAACTTTTTAGCCCCATGTATACAAAAGAAGACAATTGTATGTGTATGTCAATTTAGAAATGATTTCTTATCGTTTTCATTCAATCCACTCTTTCTTTTAGATTGAAAAACAAGTGAAAATTCATTAGCTGCGGGGGCACAAAATTCACTCTTGTGGAGTCCTTTAAAATGAGTTATTTTCCCTACGTTTGTATTTTGCCATAATTAGCAACTTATCTTATATTTGTTTAGAATACTTGTCTAATTATTTCAGTTTTGTTGAGGCCTTTTTTTTTTCAAACTGTGATCTACATTTGTTGTGTGGTTCAATCTGAATACAGTAATGTGCATTCTACTCTCTGGATGCCAACCATTTTATCTCTGTATTCATTGTAGAGACTGAGCTAATGTAAAAGTTGACAGAAGACTAAGACTATTGTTGTTTGTATATAATCTACATTCTTGATGAGAGTACATTTCATGCTAGGGACATAATAACATACTTGTTATATCAGTGATTACTGATATATTTTCATACAGAGGTTATGGGCCTTTTGAGATTTCATTTGATTTTCATCCTTCAATTTTTGGTGGAAGAAAAAATAAAGTATTGTTGAAAAAAAAATAGTTGAAATGATTATCTGGTTTATTTTGAGCTCATGAAGGAGATATGGATGTTAATATTTGATTTACTTTCTCATTGAACCTCGAGTGCATGCTGGGAGACTAGTTGTATAATACACAATCTAATTTTTTTAATATGTGATTACAAAACAAAAAATACATTACTAATGCCTCTCATAAAGATCAACTATGTAAATAAAAATCTGGTGACAAAAAAAATGCCTAAGTTATTTTAATGTATATATTTAGAGTGATATTTTGTGCATGCATGAGAACTTTAGTTGTACTTTTTTTTTTTTTTGACCTGTTCCATTGAAAATCTTTCTCTAATTTTTTTTTTTTAATTTGTGTTGATAGTCATTAAGGTAAAAGTAATTTCCAACAAGGAATTTTTGCATGCAAAGAACTTAAATATGCTACCATTATATATTTTATTCATGTAAATAAATGCTATATATATATTATACAAAACTATGTTGGACCTTTTTGTGTCAGTCTACTTGAAGGAGATGTTTTCTTTCACATAGGAGGCTTTGATGAGCTGCTCTACTTGCTATTTATTGACAGCTGTGTTAATTGTGTTGAATAAATTGTTCCAAGAGTCCTAGTTGTATTTGTTTCCTATTTATTCATCTGCTAATCAAGCAAGTCTAAATTTAGAAAAACAAAAGAAACAACAAGATAAAATATCTAGCTATCTCTTTAGACCCAGTAAAGTACAATGTAGAGATGCCTACATACCCTAATGGATATGTGTATTCCCAGACCTTGAAATGTGTATTCCCAGACCTTGAAATGTGTATTTTGAGGGCTTAATGTGTGTTTTCCTAAATGTAAAGAAATATACTCAGGAAAGACAAAACATCATTCAATCAGGTATTATACGCAAAATGCAGCAATTCTAAAGTTCATACAGCATAAAGTTATGTAAGACATTTTATATGTTTGTCAAAATAGTTAACTATTTCATGTTGAAAGTGAAATTATAGTTAAACCAGATTTAATGGTTTGCTTAGCTGGATCAATGACATTTAATTCTATAAAAGTAGTTTTGTTTTTAGGCAATTTCTTTACAAGGTATCATGATTCTGGAGATATTTTATTAGATTTTCTAGTTTCAGACCATTCTTTGCAGAGTTAGCAATGAAAGCTTTGACATCCTCCACAATCACTAACAAACATTTTTAAAATGGACCTCATTCACCTATCGTAAACAAACAACATTTTGCCACGTGATTCTCTATATCTTCTATACAAATTACTCATTCCATAAAGGCTGTCATGTGATACGTCATTTTCATTGTTTTATCAATATTATCACGTGGCTAAATGTTGTTTACGATTGGTGAATGAGGTCCATTAGTCATTTAACTTGTTTCTAATATAAAAGCTGTGCTATTGAGTCTGCCGAATAACTTGCAAGATAAAGCTTTTTATTCTGGTGCTTGAAGTTGTTTTATTAAACAAACGTGTTGAAGAAAGGCACAAGGAATCAATAATTTAATATTTTTTCAGCATAATTAAAGCTTTTCTTTTGCAAACACACCCAGCCTTGAATGCCCCTGATTTCATTCTTTGAATTTAAGCCTTCATTAGTAATGGAACTCACGTGACTATCTATAACAGTAGCTTTCAATCTGCCACAGATCTAATATAGGTGCTTGACATCGTAAAATATCTCTAGTTCTAGATCCATTCTTGATTTAATCAATTCCCAAACAGTTTGAAGGACTTCCTATAAACTGACACTGTGAAAGAAACTAAGTTTTATTTAGATCAGTAAGATATAGATCTAGTAATCGGGCGGGAAAAATAAAATCAATACTATCTCGTGGAGGCTTAATAGACGCACTGATCTATATATATGGTTAGCAAGACTGCTTTTTTAGCGGCCCCTTAAAGAAGAAAAGACGCTATTAGTTTTGTGTGAAATGTCTGCCCATCTGTCCCGTTTAGATCTCGTAAACTAGAAAAAAAATAGTGAAAATCCGACATCATAATATAGTAGTCCATTCAGAATTCTTATGCGACGGCTACTTTTTTCTTTTCTAAAAGCGAAAAATTAATTTTAAATTACTTATGCAAGCAGTTTTTTTTTTTCATAAAATACACCACTTTTACAACTATTCACTATTAATAGTAACAAACAGTGGAGGCTCTTTAGTTGGGGAGATAATATACCATATTTTTAACACATTTTTGTATGCAAACGGTTTTTGACTTTATGTCCAAAATTTTTTTTTATACATTAGTATTGCTAAGTGAAGTCAGTTCTGTCATACTAACTACTACATTTACAAGAAAAAAAAAGTTTACTTTTTTAAAGAGAAAAAAATCTATTAAATATATATATAAGTTGGACATAATTTAAAACAATTAATAAGTAATTTTTCATTTTATCGCGTCAATAGTAGTGGTAATTCACATGCATAGAACACTAAAATAAAGCAATTTTTTTTTTGAGGAATTAGAGATTAACTATTTACAAAGCAATTAGATATTCATTATGAGACATCAGTTAGGCCAGGTTCACATTTAACTTCACATCCACCTATCCTTTGGTTTGCTGGACCGCTGGGGCACCACACAAGATATGTCAACCTTCTTTCTCCATTCTTCTATGTCATTTGTCTTTGAACGAATTTAATTCTGATGTTCTTTGTTAGATAGCTAGTTTAGTTGCGCATTTTGTTAGACCGACAGTGAACGTACATTTTATAGTGACGACATAGACTTTGGGTTAGAGATTAGAAATCAGTTACTGCTAGACTCTTGAGGGGTTAACATCGTTGTTAGTGACGGACTCGACTGTGGCCCATTCTGTATTGAACATTGTTTGACGTTTCATTATGAGTGAACTTAGTTATTGAGTCGTTGTTCCTGTTGGTACCTGTTCAAGATATGTGATGTTAATGTGGTGAACTCTCAGTGGTAATACATCCTACAAGGTACGCACGCATCTAGTATAACCAAGCATCGTTAGAAATACCTCAAGTACATCTGATTTACACATGCATCCGTGACATCTTTCTGAAAATATTGATACCTGCCTTTTTACCTGCCTGGGTGGACCACTTTGGTGGACGATTTTGAGTTTTTGTATCTCCACACAAACTGTCTTTGTAACCTTGTTTTTTTTATTTATTTATTTTGCTTTATAGTGGGAAATGCATATCTTCAGATGATAAACCGTACTCGCGTATATTTTCGTGTCCATTTGCATACAAAATAAGCAAGATGCATACTTGTAGGTGTAGTGCTAAAAGATACTGCTAGTTGTTAATTCAAATTCATAAAAATCAAGCTGATTTAAATATTCTGGATTTAAATTTAAGCTTAATTCTCATGAACAGATGTTTTTTGATGTATTAAAAGCTGTTAGTATGTACATATGAAGTCTGAGTAACAACAGACAATGTCATAAATAAGAAACAAAAACATGATCTTATTACAATAATAAAATGTATTAGTAATATATTTCATACATACAAAGATCCAATATGTTCGAAAAAGTTGGGGAAAAAAAACCTCACTCTACAATGACTTAGAAAGAAAAAAAACATTTGTTTGTCATTTAATTGGTAAAACAAAAAAATTATTATATATATTATATATATATATATTGATTCTAGGTGGATTTAGCTTTCTCTTTTGAAGGGATATCCTAATTTATTGTTCAGATTATTCATTATTTCATCACATGCTGAATTACTCTTCACTAGAAATTCCTTAGTACAAAAAACTCAAAATGTGTATGTGAAAAATCCTTTGATAAATATTTACAAATCAATGAAATGGACTCCATTCATAAAATCTACATCACCAATTAATAGATGCAATAAATATATATCACACTATTTACACTTAGTAGAAACACATGTAACCAAAACTATTGAGTCCATTCCTGCAATCACTTTCCCATGTAGCCAATCTTTTATAAACAACCAAAGGAAAAAAATGAATAAAATAGACTTTAGGTAAAATATAATTTGAGTTTCATTACTAATTTATCTGTATTATGAAGGGTGATATTTTCTTTGGTTTACAAACTAATTTCTTGCTGAACAGAAAATAATTACAATGATGCCTCAATTTCAATAACCCTGAAGAAAGAAGAGCCCCCACTTTGTGAGTATTGTGACTCTCGCCTCACCATGGAACATATCCTCATTGACTGCCCCAGATACCAGGATGTCAGGGAAAAATATTTTAGAGCCACTAATTTCAAAACACTATTCAATAATGTCGACCCTGGGAAGGTACTGGGCTTTATCCGGGAAGTGGGGTTGTCTACGAAGATCTGATTTATGAATTCTGTAGACATGCACTATTTACATTAGATTTTTACCAAATTATTAAATTTTTACTACCTCTACTATTTTAACTGTGAATAGACCTTGATTTTAATGATTTGACTGTATGGAATTTGGCCCTTGTTGTGTGGAGGGAGAGTGGCCCTTGAGGGACTGCAGGCACGACATGGCCTTAATTGTGCCGATGTGCCCAAAATCACAAATCACAATCAATAACCCTTAGTACAGTGCAGCATCAAGTGAATACAATGGAACTTCATTTAAATAATGGGACACTTAAGTTAATTGCCATATGCTTATTACTTTAGCTAAAAAAAAAAGAAACTAAGTGGCTAGTTTGCCATTTCATGACATTATAACCCAGGTCAATTAGTCATAGCTCTCAATGTAGCCAAAGTCAGTCATAATTCTTAACAGGGCCCATAGCAATTACTTATACTCACTGCATTTAACTATAATACTCTCTTTTGGTTTAAAGAATTATATATTCATTCATTAATTATCTGACAAGTAGATTGATTTAAAAAAAATATATGTTTCATATCCTATTGAAGAACTGCTCCCTTCATTTCAAATTCCTAACATGTAGGTTAATAATATAATGTAATCTCTAAAAAGTGATTTATGAGTTTACTTCCTGAGCTGTAGCTGTTGTCCTGTACCACACTTGGAATGGTACTTTCTCATAGGTTATCCTTGGTCTATGGATCACTCTGAGGACAGACTGTCAACAGTCGACTGATCCAGATTTAGTCCTATTGTGTTGAAATAATGCTGAAATCTGAAGGAAAAAAAATGCAAATTAATCTCTGGCTACCAGAATAATAATGTTTTAAGCACAGTGTGAAAATAGCAAAAGAAATAGTTCATACATTGAGACAACATATATGTAAAAATAGCAATAATAAGCATACACTTTCATCCTTTTTTTCCACATAGGTCAGTTTAAAAAATAGATATACCTGGTAATAGAAAAAAAAAAGGGGGTGGGGGAGAGGAATGACAATCACATCCTAATTTAGATTTGACTTCAAACATGTACAAGCTAAGGAAAGCCTTGATATAATAAGAGACATTGGAATAAAGTTTGCTTGACATGGTAAAAAGTGCTTAGCCTTTTTCACTGAAGCTGAATGAATATTTTATGAGATAAAACAAAAAATCTATATATTAATGTAATCTACAGCTATCCATAAATTAACACACTCTTACATACAAAAGATAATGTAATGAATTGAGTTTTTCTTAAAACTCTTGCTTATAAATGAACACAAAATTGCCACTAACATTT